TATAAATGGAGAAGGTTCCGGTATTGATGTTGACTGATGAGTATAGATCTATGGGAAAATGAGTGGGTTAGTTGAAGGGATCTGCTCAACAGTGAAAACATCCGTCTATTAAGTAATGAGACCGGGCAGGGATTCTAAGGAAAGAGGAAAGCTTTGCAATATTGTTTTTATAAGGAAAATCTCATGAACCATGTTTAAAACATACAAAACAGCACACATGGCCCTACGAAGAGTGGGATGTTGTTCAAGACACCATTGACCTGCCTCAAAATGATTTCGAGGGTTAAAGAAGTATCAATTTAATGCAGTTGACCTGGGAGATACGCTTTTCCAAGTAGGGGGGTAAAAGGGAAATCTGGTATTGATGAATCTAAGGGATTGTTATTGAAGAAGCAATTTTGACAATGAACGATTGTTGACTTAACACACCCATCTTTTCTCTTTCCTTTTCTATTTTCCATTATTCAAATGCATTTGATCGTCAAAACAATATCTGTCTCCATACAGGCTATAATTTTAAGCTTGTCTCACAAGCACTGGCATGCGGTTACTGCTGGTGGTTTAATAACTTGATTTGTACAGACTTTGTTTGCCACCCTCACCCCACCCCCATACACACTTGAGAATGGGATGGATGACTTTCCATTGTTAATCTGAAACTGTTATTTGATCATCTTAAGTCAGTTTCCCTCTTTTTATCATCTCTATTTTACTATTTTGTAAATATGTGTTTCGATTTTTACTGGCAGGTACCATACCCGCAAAACTTATTTTACAGCTTACAACAGCTTTTCAAAATGGTGGCTTGTGTGACAGGAGTGGTAAATTTTTCTACCAGGATCATCTGCATAAGAACAAAGTACCTGTATTAGCCATAGCAGGAGACCGAGATCTCATATGCCCACCAGAAGCTGTTGAAGGTGTGTGAACTACAGTACTTGCTTAGATGTCTTCCATACATGCCTATCGTTTGCTTCTTTCTCATAATGATTTGAATGCATTAGAAACTGTTAAGCTCATCCCTGAGCATTTGGCCACCTACAAAGTGTTTGGAGAACCTGGAGGTCCTCACTATGCACATTATGATTTGGTGGGGGGGAGACTGGTAAGTGGTTCATAACTGCAGCAATGCGTAACATCTTGTTTGATAGTTTCTTTTCACAGTGCTTTGTGTTGTAATATGCCTTTCAATCCTCACAGGCAGTGGAGCAAGTTTATCCTTGCATAATTGAATTTCTTAGCAGATATGACCTGACATGAGTATCCAGCAAATGAAACTTCATTACCCATGGCATTCTTTGCAGTAGCTGCAGACACTATTTTCCTACAGGCTTGAAATTCCCCTCTTTGATTTAAACACTGTCCAGCTTTAATTCAATGCCAAGCACACGTTCATATCTTTGGTGAAGCTTTCCAGCACTGAATATTGCCGGTGTTGGTTGGAAGTTAAACACAGGGAAGGAATGAAGTTTATACGACTTTTGATCCTGTTTTATAATAGGAAATTAAGGCCAGGAAAGATTCGGTTAAAAGTATGCTCATTTTTCGCCGTCCATTCAATTTCGTGTAGTTCATGGTCAAATGATATAATGAAAAAGAATTCTTGTAGATCAAGTTCAGCTGGGATGACGAGGTATCTTATTATTTACCGAGACATCAGGCATGCATTTCTTTCGTTTCCTCCTTGTCCTGTAGCAAAACCGATATTATTTTGTTTTCTTTTCGTTTTTTTTTCAATTTTTTTCGAATATTGGAAAAATGAAGCGTGTTTCAGGCAAATAAAGAGTGTCTCAAATAATGGCTTACATATCTAATTGCTTTTGCGTTTCAATTTCGAGTCTTTTTTAAAATTGGCTTTAATATTTTTTTTTCATTTTTTTATAATTTTAAATATGTATTGATTTAAAAATAAATTTTTTAAAAATAAAAAATATACTATTTTAATATATTTCTAAATTAAAAAATATTTAAAAAAAAAATTATACTGCAACACAAAATATGTATGTCATGTTCCAGAAATGAATTGCAGGATTAAAAAATATTTTAAAAAACAATTATACTGCAACACAAAATATGCATGTCATGTTCCAGAAATGAATTGCAAGCAGATTGATTTCTTTGATTTCTTTATAGTGTTCTATTACCAGTCAACTTTTATGGAACTTGAGAACGAAGCTCGAGTGACCTGCTCAAATCTTGGTTCAATAATAATTTTCAATATCTGTTTTTGCGTTTTTCAAATCAAGTTCTCGTGTTAATTTTCTTTGGTTCCACATATGATTAATAGATTTTTGAACACATCATCAGAAAAATATTTTGTTCAAAGAAATTAAATGCCAGATTAATTACAAAGAACAACGCATTTTATTTCATTTCTTCGTGGCTGGTTTCTTTTCATTTGTGTGAGCTGAAATTTTTCCTTGTCTTGCATATACAAGCGTGTGAAAATTGTGCCTGGCCCCTGTCCTTATAAAATATTTGAATTTGAAGTAACATGATCGTTTTGTTTTAAGAAATTAAATCTTAGATTAAAATTAACAAAGCATTTTATTTCATTTCTTCGTTTTTGTGTTAATTTACTCATGCATATACTGACAATCACTTTACTTCTAGGATAATTATATTAACCTATGAATGGAATTGAAAGCAAAAATTATCCAAGGATTTGATTTAAAGCAGAAAAGAAAAAAAAAGAATATCAATTCTAAATGTTCCTTTGTGGTTTGATGGTAAAGATCATCATCATTAAAATCATGATTCGTATAATTTTACAAATTAACGTATATCTAATTTGTAAATTTGAATTAAAAAATCAAAATCTAAGTACAATCAGATTTGATTTGTACAATATTGATAAACTCAATCAAATGCATGATTCTGCATCCATTTACGAGTTTAAAAAAAATTCATGAGTAGCAGCTTGAATGTTTTCGTTCGTGCAGATTAGGTGCTCTGCCAAATCCTTCGCTTGATGACCAAGATCAACATCATCTTTACCTGCTTCTAAATAAGAAGAACTTGCTCTTCTTGTTCCCTCATTCCTTGGATTCTAGACAGTTCCCATCTTGTAAGCTTGACCCAAAAATGATGTTATTGCAACCATCATGTTCTATGAGAGACATGGATATCTTGATTTCAACAGTAAACAGAAATGGGATCCAGAAGTCTTTAAAGCCTCTAAGGGGTTGCATGTGGTCTCATTGTAACCCCTCAGTTTCTGCCTTCGCAAGGGTAGTGTTCTTACAAGGAAGGTATCGGCGGCATCTTCTGCAGAGTAAAATGCATGTAGAAGCCTCTTTGCCTGTTCTTTGTTTCTTGAAACCTTTAAAGATTGGTGAAGTAAATTGAGCTTGTTAGTTGCTTCCTGAACTTGATTTCTCAAGTTGGATTAGTAAGAGTTGCTTCTCCGTCTAGAAGAAGAGTTTGGAATTTCTGAATCGAAAGCAAAGCTACCCATTCAGCATTCATGGACTGATCTCTAGAAGAAAGTGAAAATATATTAGTGTAGGAGTGGCTTGTTTATTTTTGTATTTTAAAAATATTTTAAAAAAAATTATTTTTTATTTTTTATTATAAATTAATATTTTTTTAGTGTTTTTAGATTATTTTAATATATTAATATCAAAAATAATTTTTAAAAAATAAAAAATATTATTTTAATATATTTTTAAATAAAAAATACTAAAAAAAAACGTATTTTTAATAATAACTGCAATATATAGATTTTTAAAACATACGGTGAAAGTAAATCAATTTCAACTCTCTCTCATGGGACCATTATTTTTGTGGGTCCAAATACTAATAAATTAAAATAATGATGGAACTTGAAAGTTAATATTTTGCACGATTTTAGTGGCAAAAGTATATGGATTTCTTTTAAGAATGTTAATTTTTATTCAGTGAAAATTTTAAATTATATATAAATTTTTATTTAAATTATATATTTTAAAGTATTTGAAATTTTATATTATTTATTTTATTTTTATTTTAATTACATTATATTGTTATTTTTTATTTAAGAGTTGTCAATATATAATTAATTTTTACAATTCAATTTTTATAATCCAAGTTTACATTTATATTTTATATCACATAAAAAAAAAAAAAAAACATTTATATTTTATATCACATAAAAAAAATATTTTAACAACCATGATATGATTGTTATCGGACCAATTAGCATTGGAACTAATTTCTATGTTCAGGTGATTTTTTTTTTTTGGTTCCAAGACGAATTGTGGTTTGACCAAAAAGTTGGAAGACCAAGACTAGTGCATTCAGATTCCAGATTTATGAACCGTGAGCATCCTTCTCGTCAACTTAAACATGGCTCATTTACAGTCCTGAGCAGGAATCAGACCTCAAATTTTGCTAATAGGAAGAGGAATTAATAATCAAGATTCTTTGTATTCCAAAGAACAAAGTGGTTATGGGATCCTTCTAATTCAACGGCAACCCCTTTTTTACAGTCTAGTTAAGAAGAATCCTATGCTGGCAAGCAGGTTTCATCCACACAGCGATGTTCTGCAAGGGCGAAGCAGAGTGGGATCAGGGGTGACGATGGGATCGTTGTCCCCCCTAAAGAGTAGCTGTACTGTCATCTGAGAGAGACCGCCCAACTAAAAAAAAATAAAAGCAAGAACGGGAACTCAAGCCAAAACTACATCTCTACGGGATTGTTTATTCCCTGAACACGAGACACTACTTTTCTTTCCACACAGGCACGGGAAAAATAATGAAGTGCCGATTTCCATTATTGCAACTTGCAACCACTGCTCCTGGAACAATGTGCACAAAGGCATTGTATGCTGATAGCTGTCGAAAACTCAAAATATTGCTTATTAGCAGTACATTTTCCATTTTTTAAGAAAGTTGTAGTAAATTTAAAAGAAAGAAACAAGCGACATAATTTCATACTTGTGTGTTGGACCCAGCAGTTCAATCCTGAGCAGTCACTGACTAGTTGCTCACCGTTGGATTTCCAACCTGAAAAGCAGAACCCTTGTTGTAATGTCGGGTTGCAGAATCCAAACCAACTTTTGTTACAATCACTTAGGCCATCCCTTGTTTTTCCGTTTTTCAGCAACTTCCTTGTGTACTTGCATGTTGGTAGTATCAGAGTAACACAAGAAGATAAGCACCACTCAATGATTAATAATGGGAGAAAACTTGCTTGTCTACTTGGCGGGAGCCCGGTTCTACTTTCAATTGTCATTGCAGAATTCATTGTATAAATGGGTTCTCCTACCGGGTGCAAATCAACACAATTTTAAGTTTTGACTACCAGCATTCATTCCACTCATTAATCCTGCAATATTAATCCGATGGATTCTAATGCATCAGGCTTCCTTCTAAATCCTCCAGCTCTTCACTCTACTTACTATCAGCCCAGGGAAGATGATGGTATTATTGATCTGGGTCTCAGTCTCAGAACTTTGCAGCCTGAAGCTTATCATCCATCTGGACATCGTATGCCCCTTGTTCCTTTCTTTAATTTTTGTTTAGCTTTTGCAGCAGTCATCAGGTAAAAGAACTCTTTCATGAAGTTAGCGTGGCAGTGACATGATTTGCTATACAAGTAGCATTTGTGGAGAAAGGATGTTGACAAAATCATCGACGAAACACCATGGAATTAATGAAAATTCTGCGCTAGCACAGATCTTGCTGTGAACACAAAAATTGTTTTATAGTGGAAAGAGCTATTCATTACTATGGAGAACCTTTTTGATATAATCAGTAATACTAAATGATTCTGGATAGTTATGCCTCAACTTAATAGTGACAAGATCTGATTAGCAATTGTTGTAGTATGTCAATTCTAAATTGGGATGATGTAGAACGTCTCTACTTATCTAAATGAATTTCATTTTAATTGAAGCTTGAGCCTCAAAAAGCTGAACATTTTCTCTGCTGTTTTTGATAACTACAATCTGAATTTTCTTACTGGAGTTTCTTGTACATATATCAGTGGTAGGCCTGGAGGGATATGGTGACCTGATGGACTGGCCTCAGGCAAACCCACCACTAAAACACTCCACTGCAAGCTACAATAGATTTACTCCACAAGATTTTGACAAGGAGGCAGAGGGATTTCAGAGCAAAGACAGCTGGGCTTATGTGAAGGTAAACATGGATGGGGTGATTGTTGGCAGGAAATTATGCATGCTAGATCATGGTGGTTACTCAAGCCTCGCACTTCAGCTCGAACAGATGTTTGGTAGGTACCAAAAAACACGTTCGAACCCATTCTCCCCCCTCTCTTTCAGAATCAAAGATAACATGATTAAGCTTCGTTGTTCCAGGAAGACAATCTGCATCTGGGTTAAGGCTGTTCCAAGCAGGGTCTGAATTCTGCCTGTTCTACAAGGACAGAGAGGAGAATTGGAGGACCGTTGGTGATGTTCCTTGGAAGCAAGTTCTTAATCCACTGTTGTTATCTATGCATGTTTTTTCTCTACCTTATACAAGACACATTTTTTTAGCGAGTCCCTCTTTCTTAAAAATATTGACAGGGAGCTTGTAGAAAGCGTCAAGCGGCTGAGGATTGCACGGAAAAGCGAATCTCTTCTTCCATATTCACCGGCCTTCTCCTGAATTGTTCTTCTGCCATCACTCCTTTTTAGGCATCTCTTTGAATTGCCATGTCTATTGTGTATGCGGCAAAAATGAGTAGTTAACTTTTAAGCTCCCAAGAAGAATGAAAGATGACATTTGCATCAGGATAGTAGGCAGCACATTTGCATCGTATGCTTAATGTCCCTGAGCGTAAGCATATGATGCTGTTTTAAAGATGTTGCAAAGCATTCTCTATGGCTTGGATGTAGAACCTTTGGATCATCTGTCCAAATGTTTGAAGGTTGTGTTATCTCAATATAAGTAGTGTTTTTTTATCCCACGGCCTTCTAAAATTTGTGATGTGTTTGTAAGTGTGGCAATAATTTGTTTTTTTAGTGTTTTTTATTTAAAAATATATTAAAATATTTTTTATTTTTAAAAATTATTTTTGATATCAGCCTATCTGAATAATTTAAAAAAATATTAATTTAAAGCAAATAAAAATTTTAATTTTTTTAAATATATTTTTAAAATGCAAAAATAATAGAAACTTAAAATTCTAAAAAATTACAGTTTATTTTAAAAGCAGTCCATAACTATGCAAAACACCCTAAATGCATAAAACTAGATTCCTTAAACACCATTCTGGAGCACCATAAACACTCTTATTTCTCAAAAAAAAAAAAGCCAATAATTTTTTTAAAAAATTACAGAATCTAAAAATAATAAAAATACATCAAACAATTCGAAAAAATGTAACTGACAAGCGGATCATGTGAAAAAAATATACATGTACAAAAAATAAAATATGAGTGTAATATATATTAGGTTAAAATCTGAGTGTATTTCTTTGCTAGAACCCAAATGAAATAACATATATACTTGTAGTTCTGATTATTATTTTTTTAAAAAAAAGTTTGGTCTGGCGCCCTGGTGGCCTTGATAGCCTTTATGGGCTTCTTAGGCTATTGTTTCGTCATGAACTTATGGGTTGGGAGGAGGGCATCTTTTTCCAGTATAAAAACCAGACACACAAGATGCAGCCTTTTTTACTGATCTGTGTAGGAACAGCGAGGGAACAAGAGAGCCGCCATTAGGGCTTCTGCAGCGGCTTTTAACCTTCGACAACAACTGGGTATTGCTAACTTTTTTGTTTCTCTAATTGAATCTTCCAGTACCTAAATTTACACTGCTTCTGCTTTTAGCATGAGGCTTAAATATTCTTTGCTAGGAAAAAAATGATTTGGTGGTAAAACCAATTACAACAGTTTTGATGAGACCATAATGTCATTTTATCCGATGATTTGTATGAATCCTGGATCATTAATGGTGAAATTTGGTGGATTATTAGGGTTGATTGTGAGGAAGGAACAGTATTTATCTGCATATTCTTTGTGAAAACAAATGGAATTGCTAGGAATCGTGCATGATGCGTATACTTATAAACATCTTCATTAACTGCCCCTGCCCCTGCTCCCTGGCATTTGATTTTGTTTTTTCTGTTTTGGCATTTAACCATTTTGTATGAAACTCTGAATGCTAATGTCAATATTTAAATTTACAATGTTATGATGGATGGATATTGTTTGCAAAGAGAAGCGAATGAGCATAGAAAGGAGTTAAGATACAGTGGTTGGAAAATGTTATGCGTTTGATCTTCATAGTCATAACATCTTGAACAATGGCCATTGTAAGAGTAAGAGGTCCATGAGTCAATAACTCTCTTTGCAGAAATGCATGACAAAGCATGGACTCCTATTTCACCCTTACAATGTCCATTGATTAAGATGTTATAACATTGTTATCAAGGGGTTTTTTTCCCCAAAAACTCCACATCAAGTGCAGCTCAAGTTCTCAGGAAAAATGGTCAATGGAAGATTCCAATGCATCCATTCACGGTAAGCATGGATATGGTTCAGGTATCAAATGTGAAGATTATACTGTGTTTCCATGAGGAGATTCTCAAAATGGGAACTTCAAGCGAAATTCTCATTTTCCGTTCAGCAGTGATGTGGTTGTCCATCTTCAAAACAATTAGGCTGCTATACCTCATGTAAGTTGTTGCAATACCCAATTGTCCCACCTTAAGGACAGTAGAATCTATTGTTTTCTCTCGACTTTATATGGTGACATGTTTTGGCACTAGGTCATACTCTAGGTTCTTCTGTGCATATGGTAGTGCTCTGTAATCAGATTCTCTTAATTACATCTCTCCTCTATAATGAAAGTGGTAAATAGTTTATTGTTGCTGTTGATTTTTTCAGATAAATACTGGCGTATCCCGAAGAAACTTTGAAATTGTTCCGGTGCGCTTCCAAGGGGTTGCTTTTTGGGACTGATTTTGTCAATTTTAAAAGAAAACGACCTCTATAAATTGAGACGACGAAATCCTTGCCTATTGCCTGTTTTAGGTTCTAAGATTGACGATATCAAATTAATAATGGCATTTGAGATGATGAACTCTCTGCCCAGTAACCTGTTTTAGGCACCAAGATTGACGATATCAATAAAATAATGTCATTTGATTCTGTTGATTGGGGAATTCTTTTCTATTTATTTTAGCCTCTGCAATTCATTTCTAAGTTTGATGATTGCGATCCAGTTGAATCACAGAATACATATTCTCACTTTCATATCTCAACTAATTGAGAGTCAAGATCAAGAAGGGGCCTTTTCCCCTTGTCATTTTGTGATTGTCATGTAAATTATCTTGAGAATGCTTATCAGTAGGCATATCTCTTCATCAAAGTGTGATACGACACCTCAAGATTTGCTGCTGTTCTTCACAAAAAGAAGTGGTGAGGCTATATTCACTAACTGTAGCAATTCCGTGCTGTCACGAATCCAAAACTGACGAGTGGGGTTATTGACAAGGCAATAGACAACAAGGGTTCTTACAAATTCTTGTTTGCTTTCGAAGAATATAACTAAAACAAACAAAGGATTCTCTTTTTGCCCTAACATTCAATTAAATTACTAAATTGAATTAATTTTCTTGTTTGCTTTCGAAGAATATAACTAAAACAAACAAAGGATTCTCTTTTTTCCCTAACATTCAATTAAATTACTAAATTGAATTAATTTTAATATATCTATATAAACTTATAGATTAATATATAAGCATGGTTCTCAGTTAATATAAAACTGAATTCTATATAATATAAGCATAATTTGTTAATGCAAGATCCTATTATACTAATGTTAATATTATTTATTATTAAATAATAAATTTAAAATAATATTATTGTTTCTTTTTATGCTATATAGCTATAGGTATTATATTACATGTATAATATCGGTATAGTATTTTATATATTCCTTTTACACTGATGTTGATAAAAAAAAAAAAAAATCAGCCCAAACATGTGCCCATGCTTTGTTCATGAAATTGATTAGCTGTTCTGAATTCATATGCTATGTGATGAAGGTGTTGCAGAATGTACAAGGATATTTGAAGGTCAAGGAGATGCGATGAGCTCATGCCTGCCATGAATACAAGAGAGATCCTTCGAGTTTAGGAGAAAAGGTGTGTGGGAGTAAAGCTATATTTGGAAACTCGGTTGAAATCAGTTTTTTTTTTAAATTTAAATTTTTTATTTAAAAAAAATATATATTTTTATATTGTTTGATATACTAATGCTAAAAATAATTTTTTAAAAAATAAAATAAAAAATTATTTTAATATATTTATAAATAAAAAAATATTTTAAATCATCGTCATTATCATAATCTCAGAAACATAAGCAGATTATAAATAAAAAAATATTTTAAATCATCATCATTATCATAATCTCATCTCAGAAACATAAGCACAGATGTTCTAAGCACAAGTTGAACCATAATCTATTTATGCGTTGTGCGGATGAGATTTCAATGGAGCAAATTATTAGCTAGCTCTTCCATAATCTATTTGTTTTTTGGACGGTTCTCCCAGGCAGCAGATTGGACTGTGCATCTTTCTTAAGCATGTAACGTCACCGGGGATGTGAAAGCTGGGATGGTTCCACAACAAAGAGGGAATGCACATTCTGTGAACAAGGAAACCCGAATCTCTCCTCTTTTTAGAATTTTTTCTATAATCAATTCATGTCTACCACACAGTTTTATGGTTGATTTGGTTTTGAGTTGTCAATTAAAGGATTCTGGAGTTAAGGTTAAAGCATCTAGTAAAAACGACGTCTCCTGCCTTGAATTCGAAGTGTAGGCAGGTTGTCAGTATCGTTCTGGCCACACAAATCCATGGTTCTATGCAATTAAAGATGGAGAATGGGTGGGAAACGATGTCCTTGCAGTTTTCCCCTTTTCCAGCTACCACCGCAGCATCAAGAATAAACGTTTTAGGGTTGAAGCTAAGATAGTTCTTACAATTCGAAGGGGTATCTTTACTTAATAACACCATTTAAAAACTTTAATGGGTATGACGATGAGCGATTAAAAAAAAAAATTGATTTTAGAAACACATTAAAATTTTGATTATAATATCATTAATATTTTTTAAAAAAATAATAAATAAATTTAATAATACTAAAAAAAGTTACTTATAGCTACTAGTATTTGTCACTTAAGAGTGGTGAGTAGCTCACTTTAGTAATTGGTGGTGATATTTATTGGTATTAACAAATTAATCTCATCAAGATCTTTTTCAAAATATTAATAATGTCTTAATAGGAGCGTTGTTATATATTTGACATCTTTTTTTTCTCTTTTTTATTGTAATTTATGTAGGTTTATTTTATATATTTTTTTACATTTCACATTTACCATGACAAGTTTAAATGTTGTGTTATTTAATCATAACATATACAAATTGTGTTATTTCACTATTTTATATATACACACACATGATGCTAATTTTTTAAAAAAAAGATCAATTTGAAAATAATAAAGTAGAAGAGGTTCACCTTAGAAAAAAATAAAGTGACCGATCATCCCATTAAATCCAAGATTTTGATACTCAAATATATCTTAGCCAGCCTAATCGTAACCTTTGCATAAATGTTGCCTTCCACCGCAACCGTAGCTCACCCCAACTGTTAATTGGTAAAAAAAAATGAAGGTTCCCAGATTTATAGTAAAAGATCTGTGTACAGTACACAGATTACTTACAGTCTGATGCACCTTATAACCTTTTTGTTTTTCTCTGTTTCCTCCTTTTGTTTTTCTTTTTTAAGAAAGCACTTTATCATGGAATAAAAAACCCATATAAAAATGTTGACTAATAAGACAGATATCATAAAAATGTTGACTAATACGACAGATATCATGTACAAGACTACAGGTATGTCTATTCGAAATTTATTCAAAAAAAAAAATCTCGCATTCTTGCTTCCCCACCATGACCAAGAAATTAAAGCCCCGAGATTAGTAAAACCTGAATTAAGCTAGAACCCTAATAAACCAGCTTAGCTGGAGTGAATTGACCAAAGACATTCCAGCAAGATTCTCTGTTAGTCAAAAAATGATTTAACAAATCAATGACCAATCAAATCCAGTGTACAGCTAAGAACTTTCTCGTTAATTGGATACTTTGATTACTAGTGGACTCCACTCCCTATATTCGCGCCACGCGGTTCGGTAACTAGAAACCCTACTATTTCTAATGGCTTCTGTTCTAAGCACAAGACAGTTGGGTAACAATTCCCTGAAACCTTTTATGTCATAATGCGATCAAGCATGGAGATTTGAGTGAAAGGGACAAAATGGACGAAATAAGTTTAAGCAAATTGTTGGGAAAAATATGGCTGCCAGAAAGATTGAAAATAGGTAGAACTCTTAAAGATTACCATGCAGGGTATTATATATATATATATATATATATATATATATATATATATGTAACTCAATCTGAAAGGGATCTTCTTAAGTATGGGTCTTTCCACATATATGGAACTCAATCTGAAAGGGATATGGCCACTCAGTCACCAGCCATTAGGGTATTTCTTCTTTCACGGGACGAGAACACTTCATCTATCTGCATTGCACTGCTACACTATTTTTTGTTATTACAGGATAGCTATAGCAAAGAAATGGGTAAATTCATTGACGGAGAACAAAGGAAGGGATAAAAGGGCCTGCAACGAGAGCAAGAAGAAGACATCCTTTTACATATACTAACAAGTTACGAACCAACTCATACAAAACCTAGTTGCTAGCATGCTCTTTTAGCAGACCTAACTTCACCTAGTCATCACGCAAAACCAAAGGAGAGAATCCTAACATGGACAATGACGAGAAATTACACAGATGCCATCATTACTCTTCACACTGCTACAGAGAACTTAATAGGGTACACGTTTCCACTGAATGAGCCAAAAACAATTATCTTCGAAATCCCTTCTCAGAGTAACCGATGGTTTTCGAGAAGCACTAGAGCATTGGATTCACAGTTCTGTTAGATTTCTTAATCAGAAGACATAGCCAATCTGTTAAAAACATCAGAGACATGCCTCATCGTAGGCCTCCTCTCTGGGCTGCTATGAACACAAGCCATTGCAATCTTCAAAACTGCAATAATCTCTTCTTCCTTATCCACATCTGGAGCCAAATAGGGGTCCAGGACATCTGCAAGTGGTTTCTGCTCTTCAATGCAAAGCTGAATCCAGTGAACAAGATGCATCTCAGTGGTACCAACATGGACCATCGGCGATCTTCCTGTGATCATTTCTAGTAGGATAACTCCATAAGAGTAAACATCCCATTTCTGTGATGGTTTTAAAACTTTTAGTGCTTCAGGAGCCTGGTAATAAGATCCCAAGTTTGTAGATGAAACTGTAGCAACTTCTGAGCTTGGCGCACCCTTTTGTTGTCTCTCTTGCAGTTTCTCTGAGGCAATTCGATTAGATTCCAGGGTTGGGGACCCTCCAGCAATGGTGGCGAGTCGTCCAAGCCCAAAATCAGAAATGTGTGGTTCCATGTTCTGTCCAAGAAGTACATTACTTGGCTTCAGATCTCCATGAACATATTTTTTAGGGCTGAATTCGTGAAGATAAACCAAGCCCTTTGCAATTCCCTTTATGATTTTCAACCGATCAGACCATGATAATGGGGTATACGACACCATTCCAGGCTTCCCTATTGACATTAAAGAATCGAAACATTCAAAATAACAAAAACATTAAACCAACAAATAAAATAATGCTTTAGGAAACAAAAATAAAACCTATTAATTAGGGTAAATGAGGCAAAAGAAAATTTGCTCCGGTGGCATGACAGTTTCTGAAACTTACCATGAAGAGCTGTGGCAAGACTCCCATTCGGTATGTAATCGTAGATGAGCAACTTCTCATCAACAGACCAGTAATACGCTCTGAGAATTACAATATTAGGATGCCTTAGCTTGCCAATTGCTTCCACTTCTGTTTGGAATTCCTTAAATCTTTGAGAGCCCCCCTCGCCCAATCTTCTCACGGCTAAAGTATGCCCATCTTCAAGCACAACTTTGTAAACAATTCCAATTCCACTCTTCCCTAGAACAAAAGCCGATGCCTTAAGCAGCTCATCCAAATCAAAAGCCACCTGCGCATCTAGTGGCACG